GCTGCGTTTGGAGGGAGTGGTGAACATCGTGAGCTTGGGACCAGAGGACAGCATCTTCCATGGCAACATCAAGGGACTGAGAATTATTCCTGGAAGGTTCTAGAAGGTGGGGACAATTAGGGTTTTGCTGATGAGGAGGAGGAGGTTGAAAAATCAACATGTCAGGGTGAAGAGCTGCTGCGAGTCGCTGAGCAGAAATTTGGGCCAGAGCTTCATTATTATTATTACTGCCAAATATTCTTCCATAGCTGGTTTCTCCATGGCCGGATGGAGGGATTTGGTTGGCACTGATCATCGCATTCATATGTTTCTGATAACGTAGCTTCTGCTTTTCCTCCTCCCTCTTTAGGTAGATTCTATATTTCTGAAAGCATTAACCATTTAGAGCAAGAAACCACCGTCATTAAATAAATAATGAAGACAAACAAGCATGTTTAAATGTTAATTAAGGAATATGTTAATGCCAGGCAACCTGTAAGTGGCTCGCAATATTTTCTCTCGTCAGAAAAGGCACATTCATCAATTCAAGAATCGCTTTTGGCACCGCCTCTGAGATGCAAGTGAGAAAAAAGAAAAAAACTATGTTCACATTCATAATTATAATTAATAAAAGCTCAAAACATGTACAAATAATAAAAACGTTTAAAAATATCATTTTACCCCGATTTTCAGTTATCGACTACACATACTGATAAAAATATTAACATTCTTGCGAAGCACAACAGAATGATGTCGCATTGCATGCACTATAATGATAACTATAGTTTATCTCATCAGTCGGTTACAAGAATAACATGATGTCATTATGCTCGATACAAAAAGAGATAATAATATTTACTTGTTATATAAGATATATAAGAAGAAATAAATTGTAAAATCAAATCATAAGTTAGTACTATCCACAAAAATATAATAAATAAAAAATTCTGGTGTTAAAATTAGTGTTTTTGGTTATAAAAAACAAAACCAGTGTTTTTGTTCGGCCTCTTTTTTTGGGGGAATAATTAGTCACAACTGACTAGAATTGATCGGGTCATCAAACAGTTCATAAGGATTGAAATAATGTGAACGATATATAGATAAATCTTATTGCTTTTGCAAAATAACGTAACGCTGTCACTTGTAGTTTTAGGTATTTAATTCCTTTTAAGAAAATTGTGTTCATGTCATTTAATATTTTACATTATTAAGAAAATTATTTTTTAAAAAAAAACTTGTCTAACAAACTCTCTTATCTCCGATCCCTTCTCCCTTGTTAAAGGAGAGATGAGAGATACAATTAACAAAATAATGGCATAGACGAAAAAAAAAAAGATTTAAATAAATCTTAAGAGTCATATCAAAGAAAGTGAAACAAAATAATACGAGTATCTGATTTCTGAAAGAGGTTTGACCAATTCTTAACAGAAATATGTCAAAAAAAGTCAAACAAAAAGACCTCGTAACTAACTTGAAGAAGCAATTCTATTGGAGACTCCTAACACTAGAGTATAATAATTTACTTGTTTATATTGAGAGGTAGATTGCAAATTAAGAATCAAGGAAAATTGACTAGTATGTGCGCAGAATCGAAGTCAGTGAATGAATGGATATAATAAAAATTAAAGTAACAAATTAAGAAAGGAGAAAGGAAGAAGATGCATACGTACTTTCCTGACCCAGGTGATTCACCACCCTAACAAAACGCTGATGGAGATCAGGGGACCAGACGACCCGTCGTTTTTTGTTCGAACGATTCTGTTCGACATGATTCAAAAAGTGATCAATGCCGTTTTCTACTATGGGACTTTTGCCTTTTGAAGCACCAAGAGGAGAAGAACCCTCATCCCGATGAGGATGAGGATGGGGATGCTGATTCTGATTGTGATTGTGAGGGTGATGTCGTACTACTAATAATTTATTATCCTGCTGATTATTATGATCCTCGTCCACGTCATTATTAAAGAAGTCAGTCTCAGTCTCAGGTTGTTCTCTTCTCCTACAAACATGTTGCCATAAATTTTTCACCTCACTCTCACTCACTGGCTTCCACAAAACATAACACACACCGCTTCTGAATGCTGCCATTATGGAACTTGATCTCTCAACACCAGAAATCACTGCAAGAAACAATCTCTGATCGATCACTAACATATTATTAGCATTATATTGGTTCATATATATGTAGAAACTTACCAACGTGAGGGATGTTTGTGCTCAAGTGTTGGTCTCTGATGAACTGGTAGCCATCCATGTCTTCCAAGAAGACATCACTGAGGACCAAGTCATAGGAACCGGGTCTGTCTCGTAAGAGGTTTAAGGCAGCAGAACCAGTGGGACAGTGATTGATGTGATAATAAGGTTGTCGCAGCTGCCTGTGAATGCAAGTTTGTGTGGCATGATCAGTGCCTACTAAGAGAAGCTTCAATCCCTGAGGGAAATATCGCAGCAGATCTGCTGGAGGAGGAAGAGAAAGACGTTGATCGCCTGCTGCAGATTGCTGCATTGCGGAGCCAATCTAATCTTCGAAACCCAATCGGGGTGTGGATTGGAAGAAAATCCCGGGAAATATATATATGTATCTATGTATGTATTTATGGATACGTGTATGTATATAATACAAGAAAACTAAACCAGTACACAGAGGGGAGGGAATATCGGAAGGTGAACTAGTTAAAGTTTGAATTTTAAGAAGATAGTTGCTATTCGTTTGTTTGTTTTTATAATGAAGAAATAAGCTTAAATTTTGAATTCAAAAAAAGAGAGATGATGATAGAGCTGTTACAAAAAGGATTTTTTATTGAAACAATGAAAAAAAAAACCGTCAAAATGATAATATAATAGTTAAAAAAACAAACTTTAAATTCGGGACACTACAAGAGATATTGAGAAAATATTAATAGTAATTTCTCCTTCCACATGATGTGATATCTTATCCTATCTATCTAGCACACAGATAAATACTTTTTTTTTTGGTCAATGCACAGTTCGAGCACATGATGATTATGAAATTTTATTTTCTTTTTTAATATTTTTTTATTTTAACTCTTTCAATTAATTTTGGATATTTTATTTTAGATAAAATGAAAAATTATGTACCTTAATAAATTTAAAAATTAAAATAATTTGCGCTATGTACCAAACAATACATACATGGGTCCCAAGATCTCGTTAAAATATACATAAATAATGGAAATTTAAACATAGTAAATCTTAAATTCAAATATAAGATTTTGGATAGAAGGAAAATCTGGTGATATCATGAAGAATTTATAGTTCTCAATATCATCGCACAAATGCCATTTATCCCTTGATAGATTTATTAAAATAGGCTACTTCCTAAGGTTAAAATTCAATAATATATAATAAATAAATATTTGTCATTTTAAAATTTTTAATCTCTAGGTCTTATGATACTTTCTTTTTTGCAAGCAATAAGTCTTATAATTCTTATACTATATATTTTATCCTTCATGGAAAACAATAACGATAAATAAAAAAAACTCTTTTTCGTATCTAATGATATTTTCAAAAAATAATATTAAATTTCATCATGCATACAGGTTATTTTATAATTTTCTTCAATCATATATAATTTTAAATGACACATATTTTAGATTTAGTTGATATTGTCAGAAGTTGTTCAAAATTTTTTGGGTCGTAATGTGGTTTGTAGGATGAGACTGATTGTACTAACTATAACTTACAGTTTAATCACATAAATAAAGAAAAAAAAACCCTCACAAATTTACCTCATATTCTATAAATCCTAATTAGAAAGTTACTTTTAAAAAATCCAACTGCCATTTCAAATAATTATTTAGCTTTTTCCAATTGAAGTTGCTTGGATTGTGCCCCTTATTTTGTTGTTGTCAGGCATAAATATTTTCTTACTAGAAGCAATTTTATGGAGGGTGTCAAGATTTTGCATTTATGATGCTGCGTTTATTCAAGCTTTTCCGTTTCCTTTTTTTCTAAGGCTAAAGCATAAGTATCTTTTTATTGAAAACAATCCTATTCAAAACACTTTCAGGGGACATCTCTTTCAACAGGGATTTGAACCTTGATTTATCAAGTTGTGAAGGATTAGTCTATTCCGCTAAACCCAATCTCTCTTGGTTTTTCTGTTTCTTTTTTTTGTTTGCAAAGCTTTTCTGTATTTTTTTTTTTTTTGCTAAAGCATAGGTATCCTCCTATTGGAGGTAATCCTATTTGAGACATTGTTGAGCACTAAATGTGGACACTTCTTTCAGTGAAAATTTGAACCTTAATTCGTCATATTATAAGTGACTAGTCCATTCTTTTAAACTCAACTCTCATTGGCTAAGCTTTTCTGTTTTCATTCTATGTCTGTTTGCTCTTACTTTGGGCTATATGTTTTGGATTTAAGGACTAATATTGTCTCCGTTGGTTGGCCCGAAAAGGGTGAGGCCGCATATTAAACAATATTAACTAGAGATTGTAAATGTTGCCTGCAAATAACCAACAGGAGTTTTGAGTCTAGCAAAAAAGATTAATTCTTTGTAATATGACGAATCAAGATTTGAATATCTGTAAGAGGTACCTACATTTAGTACCTAACAATATCTCGAATAGGATTACATCTAATAAAAAGATATCTATGCTTTAACAAAAAAAAAAATACAGACAAATAACACACAAAAATCAAAATAGAACAAGAAAAATAAAACAATTACCCATCATCATTACCCAACTTTATAATCAAAACCCTAGGATATTGTTCTTTTTTTAATTCTACCTAAACAAACTTGAAATTATTAAACTGAATTTATTTGAGTTTAGTTTTGTCATAATTTCTGAGATTCTAATTCATACCCTTTGGACGGATGGGATCATTTTAATACGGACGGTTCCCAGTGACCACTGACCCTCCCTGTGCAAGGGTCGGACATAGACGCGCGGCGAGATGTTGAGCGTAAGATCATTGGGACGGCTAGATTTCAACAGCATCACCCAACCTGCCGCCTTTTTTCCGGGCAGAGGACAACAATCCTTCTCCTCCTTCATAAGTCGCCCCAGAAACCCTAGTCTTCTTCGCGCCGTATCTGCTTCAACAGAACGTGCACACAACAGGACTCGGTAATTAGGCTTCAAATTATACTCTTTCAAAGTTCCATGATAAATTGATGGTCCTCTCTTTGCCTAAATCTACTGGAATTTCTTTGCTTCATTAGGAATTTGATTTCTCGTTTCGTTTTCATAGATAATGCTCGTTTTGTTTGTTTTCTGTGTTCATTTTATGGACTCTATCTAATATTTTCCCTCGTTTTCTGGGAATGTAGGACATATTAATGGTTGTTCATGTTTTGATGAGTGGTGTGGTGTACGATTGTAACCGTTGTGTTTTGCTTCTGTTCTGAAACTAGTAGTTGAATAGCACCTCTTTTAGATCATTGAATTTTTCTGTAAGAATCTTGTCCGAGTGTGATAGTGTCTACCTTTTTTCCCCCATACAGTTAAATGTTTTAGCTCGAGTCGTCCTCGTATGATTTCATTGTAATCAAATTTTTTATATTTATTTTCTTTTGTAGATGGGTGAGGAGGTTAAGGCTATTGTTCCAGAGTCTGTGTTGAAGAAGCAGAAGAGGGAAGAGGAATGGGCATTGGCCCAAAAACAGGAGCTTGAAGTTGCTAAGAAGAAGAGAACAGAGAGCCGTAAGTTGATTTTCAACAGAGCCAAGCTGTACGCCAAGGAGTATGAGGAGCAAGTAAATATCACTAGTTCTTTATTGCTGGATGATCCTAATTTGTGGCGGCACCTGATTTTTTTCCTTGGTTTATTATAAACTTCTTCCTTCAGGAGAAGGAATTAATTAGATTGAAACGTGAGGCAAAGCTGAAAGGTGGATTTTATGTTGATCCGGAAGCTAAACTTTTATTTATTATTCGCATCCGTGGGTATGTTTTTTCTCTATTTATTTATAATTATAATGGGACTCAAGTTCCTACGAATTCTGCATCTACTTATACAGAGAAACTATGATGTTTCAGTATTAATGCCATGCATCCAAAGACTAGGAAGATCTTGCAGCTCCTGCGATTGAGACAGGTACTATGATAATCTAAGAATGTGAAGGGCGATTTTTTTCCGTTATCCAATTTTATGTCTTCAAGTGACCACAAATTTAAGTGGAAGCATAGTTTGAACTAGTAAAATACTTGTAATGGGATGGAAAGTGGTTGGCTGTCTTTCTACGTGATTGATCAACATGGTTACTTAAACATCTAGATTTCAAAATTCATGCCTTTTGAAAACTTGCATTCTGTGGTTACTAAAATCACAATGACACTATTTCATGTCCAGGGAATTTTTACTCGCCCAATTCATGTTAGAGATAACATAATGTATACAAACCTTTTTGCTCCTTAATTTATAAAAAAGGCAATGCATTCATCTTTATTTGACTTTTGGAACAGATCTTCAACGGTGTATTCCTTAAAGTTAACAAAGCCACAATGAACATGCTGCACAGAGTTGAACCTTATGTGACTTATGGGTATTTAACTTTCCTGTAACTTAAGTTTGCTTATGATATATCCTTTCTATTCTCTAAGAGTAAAGCCTGTCCTGTTTCAGATACCCAAATCTTAAGAGTGTCAGAGAACTTATTTACAAGAGGGGTTATGGTAAGGTCGACAAGCAGAGAGTTGCCTTAACTGACAACTCCATCATTGAGCAGGTTTGTTAGTTTTTCTTTGCTGTGAGGCAGCTTATAATGTAAAATCAACGAGTGCATGCTGGTAACTTGCTCTGGGGATCCTTGTTAGGCTTTGGGCAAACACGGAATCATTTGCGCTGAGGATCTAATCAATGAGATCATCACAGTTGGGCCTCATTTTAAGGAGGCCAACAACTTCCTTTGGCCATTTAAACTCAAGGCACCTTTGGGTGGACTGAAGAAGAAGAGAAATCACTATGTTGAAGGAGGCGATGCTGGAAACAGAGAGAATTACATAAATGAGCTCATCAGAAGAATGAACTAAGACTGTACTAATGTTTGTTTATTGGTCTTTTTAGTTTCTTGTCTAAAATTTTGGAATGCGGATGGTAAATCATTTTGCTATGATCAAGTTGATTTTTGGTTTTCTTTTCAATGTGAGAATTTTGAATGGCCTTTCAATGTGTTATAACGAACGTTAAGCTCATGCTCATAATCCAAGTGTTTTCGTTGTTATTAATGTCTTTGTTGTCTATTATACTCTTCCTGTCCTTATTATAAGACCCAATTTGACTTTTTATTTGGTTCTAATTATAAGACCCAATCTATTTTCTCTATTATATTTATGCATTTTTTTCCAAGATAATCCTTCTAATAATGATAGTTTTAGCCAATATACTTAATTAGTAAGGATATTTTAGGAATAATAACACTTATTTATTATAAATAACCAACTTAATTTATTTCCTTAATCTCCTCAAATAAGTCAATTGGGTCTTATAATTAGGACCGGAGGAGTATTTTGTTCTGACATATTAGCCTCACGCAAACAGAGACATTACTTCATGTTTTTAATTACCAACACCCACCCCCGGGGGCGTGGGAACCCCGCGAAGTAAAAATAGTCTTGTAATATTTAATATAAGATTTAATTAATTAATTTGAATAAATTAAGAATATTAGTTAAATTAGTTAATAAAGTTTGTTTAAACATTTTTTTTAAATTTTCTCCCTTCGTCATTTATTTGTTTATTATTGAAGAAATGTTAATAGGGTTTATTTGAGAAAAAAATGATGAAAATGTAAAATAAATTTTACATATAAGATTTATATCAATTTGTCAATTAGGTTACATATTAAGGATTATATAAGTAATTGTTATTATGTCTTGACTTCATTATCTTCCTCCATGTGCTCTGATAGAAAGAGAATAAGGAGAATTGAAAGGAAAATAAGAAATTAATTTTTTTTTCATCTCCACATATTTAATACAAGGTACTATCTCCGATTTTTAATACTCCTCCGATCCTAATTATAAGACCCAATTGACTTATTTGAGGAGATTAAGGAAGTAAGTTAAGTTGGCTAAAACTATCATTATTAGAAGGATTATCTTGGAAAAAAATGCATAAATATAAGAGACAAAATGGATTGGGGTCTTATAATTAGGACCAAATAAAAAGTCAAACGGGGTCTTATAATAAGGACCGGAGGAGTATAAGATCTTGTTTGACTTTTATTTTAGTTTTAATTATAAGACCCTAATCTATTTTATTTTTTCATATTTGTTTATTTTTCAAGATTATCTTTGTAATAATAGTAGTTTTAACTAATAAACTTTATTAATAAGAATATTTTAGAAACGATAATATCTATTTATTACAAATAACTAATTTAACTTATTTTTTTAATCTATTTAAATTAGTCAATTAGTTTTTATGTTTACAACCGGATGGAGATTCAAACTGACGGAGGCTTAAAAAGAGATCACTCTCATTTTCATTATTTGCAAGTCTTGAATCTGAAGAGCTATGGAATCCTTTATTGGCAAAATTCAACACAATCGCGTCGTCCCGGACTTCTTTTAGTCAAACCAAAATGGCTGGCATAGACGCATCCATTACTCATCGACGTGTCTTCCACACCCACATCCCATATCCATCATGGATATTTGCTTATCTTCTCTGTTCACAATTCAATTTCAATATATCTGTTCCCTTGACACGTGTATAGAGGAAGATATCAAATTGAATAGAGCACTCATGCTTCTTCTTCTTCTTCCTAATTAAACTATAAATTACAGATAGATCGAATCAATTTCATTGTTGAAATATAATACTCCTCCAATTCCAAATATAAGATTTATTTTATAGTATAAATGAGTCTTACATTTAAAAACGAAAAAAAAAGACATATAATACTATTCTTAGTCTTGATTATAAGATCTCGTTTAAAACTTATAAATAAAGTCTAATAATTAGGATCGGATATAATATAATAACTAAAAGTTTCCACTTCTGGTGGATTAACGTAAATGTATGGGGTGTGAAGCCGAAGCGTGTTTCCTCTTCCCTAAGAAAGCAAACCATATCTTCATCTTCTTTAAAATAATGTCCACGATAGTTTTTTAAGGAAAAGGGAAAAAAAGGCCAGATAGATGCAATCGATTTTATTGTTAAATAAAACTTTTGTGCCCAACGTATTTTATGATAATATCATATTTGAATATTACGTTATTGCCTCGATATCTTGCCACAATGCCACCTCATAAAGGAGCATTCACATGCACAACCAATTAATTACAATTAGTTTGATAGAATCCTAACTTTTAAAAAGGTTAGTTTTCGTCAAATGTAATGAAACACTCCTTTAATTTCTCTACGTGATTTTGATGATCATCAAAATACTATTAAACTAATCTCTTGCTAGCTGCATCAAATTTCGTTGCTTAATCAACAATTACATAACATCTGTAGTTCACAATTTAATTAATTAAATCCTCTCAACTTTTCTGCAAAAAAAAAATCTATCTACCTTAGTATGAAATTTTAATTCAATTTTAATTTTATTTTAATTATTATAAAACAATATATATAATCTACAATGAAACATATTATATACTACCTCCAGTCCTAATTATAAAATCCCATTTGTAGTCTACAAACAAGATCTTATAAATAGGAATGGAAGTAGTATATTAGCAAGCTAGGAATATGAAAATTATTTTTCAGATTCCATATGATGCGCAAACTCCCTGATTTTATATTAAATCAGGTAATAACAAAATTTTAATGAAAGGAATAACCAATAAACTTATAATTCACGATACGATTATAATTTTAATTTATTTTATATATTTTAAAAAATTATTTAATTATTCCAAATAGTGATTGAGCGGGTGGGAAGAACTCAATTCTTTTTGTTAAAAACAAAAATTTATCAAACAAAAAATTTATAAAAAAACTATTTCTAAATATAAATGAAAATAATAGAATCGCGTTACATCCAATATATGTATAAATAAAAAGGAAAATAAAAGGTGGGTTGCGTTTACGTGTGGCATAAATAATGCATGTGGTTGTCCTTACGTGATGTGCTCCCCGCCTTTTAAATAAAAGCCATCGTTGAAAACCCACCTGATTTCACAAATCTTTATTTGTGTGTCTGTGTGTGTGTGAGAGAGAAATCGTTATGTATGTACATCGACATATATATATGTATATATATACAGACACACATTCACATACACATACTCCAATAATCCAATTCATACTACTTGTTCTTCTTTGAGCTTTCATCTCTTCTCTCCGTCTGTTGGCTGCTCACTGATCAGTCCATGGCTTCCTCTTCTTCCTTATTAACTCCACAAGGTATATATAGATGCATCCTTATCTCCTCTATATATATACTACCTCCAGTCCTTAATATAAGACCATATTTGACTTTTATTTTGATCCTAAATATAAGATCCCAATCCACTTTGTCTTTCATACTTATACATTTTTTTTCCAAAGTAGCCCTTCTAACAATGATAGTTCTAGTCAATATATTTGATTAGTAAGGATATTTTAGGAAAGATAATACCTATTTAGGACAAATAACTAACTCAACTCACTTCCTTAATTTCCTCAAATTAGTCAACTAGCTCTTATAATTAGGATCGGAGGTAGTATAAGCTATTGGGCGACTCTTATATATATGTGTGTGGTTTAAGTGTTTATAAACTGGTTATGTGGTTATATTATGATTACTGAAGCAGAAGGAGTTGGCGGTGAGGAACAAAGTGTGCTGCAGAAGCACGTTTCGTTCTTTGATAGGAACAAAGATGGTGTCATTTACCCCTCCGAGACTTTCCAAGGTTCGTTCTTTCTTTCTTTCTTTCTTTTATTATATTCCCATAGGTATGTCCTTCTTAATTCTCTCCTTTAATTAATATCTTGTAATTAATTAATTCCTTAATTATTCTCAATGAACGGCAAATATTTGTGTTTGTTCATTTAATTCACAGGGTTTCGAGCAATTGGATCTGGCGTCTTCGTCTCCATTGCAAGTGCGGCTTTCATTCACTTCAGCCTCAGTTTCAAAACTCGTCCTGTAATTCTCCTAATTAGTTACCCTTTCCATCTTAATTAATTACTCTTCCTCTTTTTAAACATCGTTATTACTATTTCTCTCAAATTACAATGTCGCCTTCATTCACTTAATTCTACATTTGTCGCGATATATATAAATATATACTCCTCCGGTCCTTAATATAGGACCTGATTCTTGAGTTGGTTTTGGTTCTAAATATAAGACCCATTTCTCATATTTTTCAATTTTCTCTAAATTACCCCTGTAGATACTCCCTCAACCATAATCAAGTAGAAGAGGAAGATGGGGTATTAAGAAAGATGATTATGGTGTTTTAGGAAAAATGTGTCACTTTTCTTATAATTAACTAATTTACCTAACTTCCTTAATCTAATCAAATTAGTTAAATGGGTCTTATATTAAGGATTGGAGGAGTATATATATATATATATAGAGAGAGAGAGAGAACAAAACATCATTCTTACGTCTGAGAGATCATTTTATAATTTTAACTAATTAAGGAGTATGGTCGGTAAATATAAATTACATGAATTCTATCACCTAAAGATTTATATTCTATGTTAGTTTTTAATTAATAAGGAGTATGTATGATTGTGCTAACCTTAAAAATAAATTATATGGTCTCTTAATTCTCTCATCTAAAGATACACAGGATTCTTTTCATATGAAGATCTGGATTTAATATATGAAATCGAAAAAAAGTGCGGAAAGCAAGGTGCTTACACGAAATTATTAGAACTTACTTCATCAAGATTCTTCTAGTTTCCTGCCTTGTGATCTAAGGACGGTTGTTCTTATTAATAAACGAATGGCAATCGAATAATAACACATTAAAGAAATAAAATATTAATAGATGCACAGTCAATAATTGGTCATGCATGTACGTGTAGTCAATTGAATATTTATTATGCAAAATAATTAATTATCTAAAAATTATGATGCTCACGATGTAGGGGAAATTTCCTTCTCCACTGCTTCCCATTGAAGTTGAGAACATCAAACTTGGCAAACATGGCAGCGACTCGGGAGTCTATGATCAGGAAGGAAGGTATTTGGTTTCTTGTTTCTTTTATTTCTCCAAATCTGTGTTCCCATATAAAATATTTCAATTGAAAATTTGCCGTTATTATTATTAGTGAGCTATTA